GGTACCGGCCGTAACGGACCGCTGGTGTCCAAAACCGCATCTGGAACAGAATTTTACACACAGGGTCTGGTTTGGCAATCTTTATATCCACAATAAATCATAACCATGCACAAAAAAAAAAATAATCAAGTGATGTGTATATTTACAGAGTGAATTGCACTTAACACAGGAACCAGGAATAAAAGTAAATGGAAGGAACCTCTTCTGGGTCAGACAAAGGTCCAGTGCTATTTATAGCCTGCGGAGCTTGACAGACACCACCGTGCGTTATCTGACCAGCTTAAAATAAGAATTACTGTTATTTACTGAAAGAGCGCAGCCCTGGAGATACTCATTTCATGGAAACATTTCCTTAATCACCACTCAAACTGTATTATCTACTAAGACTCTATTAAGAGTCTGCAAGTCAAGAATCCAACCTCAGCCCTGACTCACTCTATTTTAACTGAAGGACAGTTAGTCTTCACCCCTAATTGCCTGATTTTTCTTATTTAAAATTCAGGCCCCTACCTTTAATACTGGTTTTCCTAGGGTTTTTTTGGTTGTTTTTTTTTTTATGAAGGAAAAAGACCTCCCTAAATGACTGAGTCACTTCATTAGGATCTTTTTTCTTCTACGGAGCCCAGAACCTCTGAGCGAGTTCTTCCTTCATGCTTGGGAGGGAAATGATCACCAAGCACGGGTAAGACTTGACCATTAAGAGCCCACAAACAGATCACATCCACGACTTCTGGATCAGCACAGCATGCAGGAATCAAAGTGTCAGGAAGCAAAAATACCTACTGTACATTTTTTCCAAGCGGCTTTTGGGAAGTGATCTGCTCAAATGGAAGGCACAGACCAATCCTTACTCTCCTGGCATGTCCAGCTCTCCTCTTCGCTCAAGAATCCCCCATTACCAGCCTCTCCACACACCGCAGGGTGATTACAAGTGAGCTAAGAGAACAGCACTCAAGCGGGGGATTTCTCAGGTGCAGCGGTCTTTCTACTGCTTCTAACCTGCTAGATGTGCTAAGCAGCAGCTGCAGGGGGAAGAAGTGATCAGAACACCTTTTCCTTCTACCAAATTTTGATGGTCTACACAGCACACGCAAAAATCTTTTTAATGAAGTAGCAAGCAGTCACTCATCAACTGGATTTTTACATTTACACAAGTATAGAGCTTTAAAACTTTCCTATGAACCAAACTTGCCTGTCCTGCGCAGGCTACAGACAAACTCTCAGTGGGGATCCCAGACTTTACCTCACCTAGTTTGTGAGCATCGGACTCAAGAGGAAGAAAAGAAGTTCAACTGAGGCAGTCTACCCAACAAATTTATTTTACCAATAACCTGTTTGTGTGCTCACCACCAAATCACTTCTATGTGTGAATTTTGGCCTTTACTCTCCCCATCATTAACAGTGTAGTTATCAGAAAAGACTCCTGACTAATTCGGCATTGGAGGACTCATTCCAAGTATCAGCAGGAGCCTTCAACAGAGGTGTCTATAACTGACACCGGGTGGTAAGCACCCAGTGCTTTTTAGTGTTATTTTTCAATAGTTAGATGAAAGTAATCCTCAACATCCAAGTAAAGCAAGTATAGCACATGTTCCTTCTTTCACAGGCAGCTTTCCTGTCATCAGGAGTTTTACATTAAGCCAAATTCTGCCCTCAAACCTCTTATGGCAGATGGAACAGAGCTGGAACCTTTTCTGTTTTCCTGACGGCAATACTGAGACACACAGAGCCAGTGAAGTTGGCAGTATGAAGCTAAGAAGCAGTTCAGGTGAGGTTACATCTAACTGTTATTTTCCCATCAGGAAAGCATGGTTAAGGAGTCTGGCCTATTGGAGAGCTGCTTTGAATGTCAGACAGCTCTTCAACAGTTCAAGCTTCCTCAGGATTCCTCCAAATCTTCCCCTCTGCAATTTCAGTAGCCACCACCACCACCAGTGGGTTGGGTCGTAGCTACAGTTCTGAGGAGTGTGCAATGCTTTCAGTAGGACACCAGGGCACTGGAGAGCAAAAGTATTGTCCCCTGTCTCTGCACAGGAAGATGGTTTTACCAGGCAGAACCGGTCCACTGGCCTTTTTCTGTTGGCACTAACAGCCCGGTGCTTAGTCTAGGCAAGAGCATCGCAAACCCACAGACGGGCTGCGTCTCTAACGCCTGCAGAGCAGCGCAGCAGTCTGGGAAGGAGTCAATACCTAGTCTAATAAACGGAGTGGCCAGAGCAGATAAAACCATCACTTAGCTTACAGTGCCAAAGTAAGCCGCGTGCGCATGTGCATGCACACACGTGCTTCCCACATCTCGGCTATACTAAAGAGTCCTGCAGCAAAAGGCCTTTCCGTGTCACGACTGATCTCAAAACCAACCCAGCCCCCCTGGCACAAGCCATATGGGTCCAAGGACCACCTGCTCTGAGGGGGCAATGCACAATGAAGCTGTTCAAGGTCTCTTCAACACCCATATAATTTAACAGCACTTGAGCCCTAGACACAAACCTGTTGTTGGGACTCCGAGGCAAAGTTTAGAGCCTTCCACAAAGTCAAAGACTAAAGAAAAGCTCTTTTAAGAGACAAAAAAAATGACTAAACTGCTTCTCAGCTTCTTATACTAGGCCAGATTGATTCTAGACACTTCATGTTAAGAACAGGATTTGCAGAGTAAAACACATTAATACATCACCCTGAACTACTAAGTCTTCTTAACAGCATGATTCCTCCTCATGCGATTCAACTCATTTCTTTATAAAAAGTTTTCTTCAAAAATTAAGGATCCCTGTTCCCCTAGCGTCCACCTATTCTTGAATGAAATATTGAAAATATTTCAGAATTTTCCACTCTCTCTGATGGTGTGCTCATCTGCCAGCCTCCTAACTACTCACTGCATATCACATTCTGGTCTAGACTAGGTCTAGGACCACCAAAAAGGAGGCATCTCCAGTTCCCACTGGTTGCACCTTCTCTCAACAGGATGCCATTAAAGTACATACCAAGTGTTCAAAGTGCCTCCTGAACTGGGACACCCTTAGGACAAAACACTGTGACACCTAACTAGGAATTCATATCCTCATTCAACAGGACTAGGCTGCAAGCATTCACCCCCTTCACCTTGAGTGTAGCCTCTAAACAGAGCTGAGAAGTGGAAGTGCTAGGCACCACGTGCACCCTTTGCTGTGAACTATAGCCCTCTCGGTGCATACAGTGCAAACTTAAAGGCATTGGTCTGGAAATCTTATAAAAGAAAAGCCATCAGAGTTAACTGCCCTTAATTTTATTACATAACCAGACAGAACAGTTGAGACTGGAATGTCAGATTTTCCCTCCAAGCACAATTCACAGTTTTGTATTTGCTTTGTATCAGAAAAGAAAAAACAACTCACTAATATGCAGGTAAGGATTCATCAAGTGAGGTACAGTCTCAGAATACAGAGCAAAAATTCACTGCGAATTGCTTCACTGGCCTTCAGAAAGCAGCAGATGGTCTCCAACTCTTCCTTTAGATAGTTTCACCCAGTATTTGCCTCCTCATAACATTCAGCGTATACTGGAGGGGATGCAAGTGTTCAAGAGCTAATGAATGATGAAAAGCCATCATCATAGAGGATTTTTACAAGCTAGCAAGAGACTGACTACACGAAGTTGTGCTAACATTCTTCCCATTCAGCAAAACAAAGTATTACAGTAGCTAGCCCTGCTGATGACAAATCTGTTACATCAGGTGAAGTACAATCATTTGAGAATTACAGTCTGCAATTCAGTAAAACAGAATAAGAGGAAAACAACAGGTTAGCAGTTAGTATGCGAAATCTTAGTATTACGCATTTTAGTAGAGGTCAAGAAGATTATGCACAAGGTCAATAGTGAAAGATCATGAAGAGAAAGTTCAAGATGCTATGGTTCTGCAGAAGTTTTACAAAATGTATAAAGTATTGTGTTTCTCTACAACAACCAAAACCCTTAACAGTGCAGGTATATACATGACATGAAAATATTGCTTCACTCACTCAAACAGGGATAGGAGAGATCTAGAGAAAAAGCAGCATGCAAAAAAATCCTGGAACTATAGAAGATCTTGCTTTCGGACACTGATCTACAGTACAAAATAAGCCTACTTGTACAGGTTGCAAAAGGTTTCTGAAATAATATGTGGCACTTACTGTACAATAATGTTAACTGATTAACATAAGCCATGAATAAATATTAAGCCACTTCATAAAGCCTGCACAAGCAGCACAGGCGTTCATGGTGGCAGAGAAAGCAATGCAGACATACTTCATTGTTCCCAAATAAAACACGAATAGAGAAAGATTTCCCAAGCAGGAAACTGTAAACTACACAGCCAGACTAACTGTATTAGGGGTAATTACATAATAAGTAATGTTACTTTCAACAGCTTTCTTACGTGTGTGCAGCCACGAACAACCTCACTGTGAGATCAGGATAGAAAACAGAGCATTTGGTAGGATAGCTATTTTCTTTTAATTTCTTCCCCATGTTTACAGAAACACAAGAAAAAAAAATATCTGACTATGGGAGGAAAAAACCTTGTCACCTAAATGTAGCTATTTCTTCAACAGTTATAGCCAAGTCCCCATGGTTTCTCTCCCAGAAAAAAAAAAAACAAAACCATTTGAGGAGAGTGTTTCATGGGATAATATCCAGCAGCAGATGTTCCAACACAAACACGTCTATCAGATCAGTGCCTACATTTCAAGCCCAAAAGTCACCACACTGAAGGGGATTTCAAAGGCAGGGGAATGTTAGCCCTACAATTAAAGGTCTAAGATGAAAAGGGGAACTTGGGAACGGGGTAAAGGAGGGAAGAGGGAGTCACTGAATCACAGGAGATAAGAAGTGCACACAAGTTTCTAAATGAAGCACAGACGAAGTGAAGGGCACAAGAGTCATCTACAGGAGGTCACAGGTTCTGACAGCACTGGAGTTTGTTGGATTTCTGTCCATCGGTGGTCGGTGGGACACTGATGTCAACTACGTTGTTGCCAGGAGACTCATCGTGTGCAGACCGATCTGCAATCTGCTTCTGCGAAACAATGCGGTAGATTTCTGAAATGAGAACAGACTTGTTAGAGCCCGGAAGGACACTGGCTCCAACGGAGCACACGCACACGGCAGAGCAATCTGTCAAAGAAGATGCTAGAACCCAAGAATTAGAAGATTTTAACTTGAGAGCTGTGAAGGGGAATGTAGTCTGACCAGCTGTGGCGTGTAACATCTGGCTTGCTTTTGAGCTCTAATGGATATGCCAGCTCTGTCTGGAAAAGTTATTAAGACAAGATTCCTTACTGTCTTCCACAATAGCACCTCCTATCACGTTCTTTTTCAATGACTCCATGAACACAGGTATTATTAAAAGGCCTTTTAAATAAGAAAGGAGCAGGAAAGCTCATTTCTAAAACAGGGAATCATCTTATTATTGATTTTTAAAAAAAAGGGGGGGGGGAAACATAATCTAGAAACACCAATCAACAGGAAGCTTGCAAAACATCGTTGTGCAGCAGCAATGACGGTATCTATTTCACACTAGCTTCTGGCATGCTGCTACTACCAAATGACAGAAATGCCTACTCCTCTCTGCAACAAATCAGTTTCCCCACCTATGGCAGTAAAAAGCCACATGGTTCCATAAAGCCCCATATTGATCAAAAAATGATTTTCCTGAGAGAATTAATTTATTTGACTCAAATTAATTTATGCCTGAAAGCACACAGATCCACAAAGCTGTAACCGCTGAAGAGAGACTGCCACATTAAAAGCTTTCAGAAACAAACCATTTCAACTGCATAGTTAGCAGAAATAATTTAAGTTGAAAGGTTTTTAAATTACTTATTTCATTGACTCTAATCCCTTGTTCCAACTTCCCTCCATTGTGAGACAGGAAAAGGGCAAGTACCTCCCTGAAAGTCTGCGGTAAATATTATGGCCACATTCATGCAGCCACAGCCTCAAAACAGCAACACCCAAAGTCTTTAGTAAGGATTAAAAAATCATGGGGGACTATGTGGGGTTTGTTTACGTCCTGTGGTTTGTTGGTTTGTTTTTTTTAAAGAAGCTGCACATATTTACAATGTTTAAAATGGAAACCTTTAACCCAAGACTCACCTCATTGCCACTGGCTACTTTCAACTTTTTTTGCTGAAAGGGACAAGGAGACCTGTGCAGATTGTCATATCCCTGTTCTCGTATGCTCGGTAGCGTATTTTAACGCTAGCAGTTCAGAGTTATTGCCAAGCCCTCTTTTCTTTGGGGTAGCACCTGTTCGGGGGGCTTTGTTTGTTTGTTGGTTGGGGTTTTTTCAAAGTCTTTAGCAATCCCTCAAACTGGTGGCCAGTAAGGAAGCTCCTGTTCTGCTGCTCCCACCTTCTTCCCTTCTCCAAGTCCCCCACAGTTGCTCCCAACTCACTGCTCTATATGTTTTCCCAGGTTTCTTCTTCTCTCTTAGTAGGATGATTCTCCCCCAGGCAATCATTTTAGGAACAGCCTTTTCAGGACGACTCAGTCTTACTAGCCACATCCCGACTGTACCTGAACTGGACAATCTCAACTCTTTTGGGCACCCAGGATGCTGCTCAGAGATAGTGTTTTGAGTTCAGTTTGCCGAGGCCTGACCTCAGCTTGAGTTCTGGCTCCTTAAGTATCTTATCTGTTACAGCAGCCCGTACTGGGGCTCTTTCCTAGAGCAACCTTAGGCCATTTTCTCTACCCAGGGTCAGTCTCAGGACAACACTCCAAGGGAAGACAGGATGGATGGCATCTGCTGAACTACGCCCAGAGCACTAAAACCATGGATACCATCTCAAAGCACCAGGCAAGTTGCCTCAGATCCAGCCAGGTGTCACAGCTAAGCAGTGGATCTGCTATAAGGCTGCCCTGCACAAGAGACGGTCGCAGCTTGGGCACCAGGCAGTCTTCTCTGCGGCTGTCTCAACAGCAATATGCTCCAGTTGCTTCACCAGTAGCTCCAATAATTCAACACAAATCTTGCTGAGCAGCAAATACAACCCATTCCTAGTCTGTCAGGCTTTTTACTTCTAGGAATAGCTTGGCTATCCTTTTTCTCCTGCCTGCCTCTTCTTGGTCATCTTCCTCTAACTGCAACACATTTCTGATACCAACAGAGTTGGCCAGCACCAGACATAGTGATCCCAGTGCTTCTTACTGCTTCCCTGCACACCTCTGCAAAAGAAACCTGGAACAGCCTGCATTACACAATTCATCATATTAAAACTCAGCTTTTTTCCTCGTAATAGGCTCCCATTCATACATAATCAAGACACAATGATACAATGCCAATTCTTTAGTCAGCGTCCAGTAAGCAACATACACCAGATACTTCCTGATAATCAAGTAGAACCAGAACAAAAGGCTCATTCTCATTTAACTGAAATCCATCTCTGGTAACAATAAAGGTCTGCAAATGCTCATCTTGAGATGCTGTGGGACATGGAAATCAGACACAACTTCACAAAACCATGTACTGGGGCAAGACAGTTCATTGGTCTAGAATTCAGCTATGGTAAGCAACAGTCAGGAACTGGATCTTGTCAACTCTTCATGTTCATGATATGGATCTTAAAGAGCTTTTCAAGAGACAGGACAAACACTGACAAATTATAAGATGTTCTCCCCTCTTTAGGACAAGATTCAGATCTCATGGAGCAGCAAGACATAGAACAGTAATTCATCACCTGCTTGATAGTGCTCTGCCTATTTAGATGTGGTTTAAGGTTTTTTTGCCAATTACCAATTACTTCATTTTAGGAGTGGATGACCATGCTTTCAAACATCAACTTCCATGTCACCTCAAACAGTATTTTGAGATATGACTACTGCAGAACACAGAAGGGAAGGCAGAGTCTCTGAAAGCAGCGATGCTCAAGTTTATCTGGCTTTGTTAGCTCCAGTTCAGCAGTCCTGCAGGCCCATGCTGGTCTCCTTCAGACACCCTTGGGTGGGACAGCACCATGCTTCCCAGGACTCTGCTTCCAAGGATTAGCTCAGGCAGAGAGCTACCCAAATGCACAGTCACCTCAGACTGGTGCCAGAATAATACATCCTCTGGATCCCAAAGTGCTAAAGCATGCAGTGCTGACACAGTCACACAAACTGAACTAAAATTGGAGTAAGATTAAGCCAAACTCCAAGTTCAGGAGAAGTTACCCACCCCAACTGAAGTAACAACACAGCGATGAGCAACGCTTATTTCAAGCACCTCTCTTGCTCTGTGTGCTTTCTGATTCTACTGCCTGCAGGCTACGTACCTCCCACCGTATATCCTCACCATTTCAAGCCTGTCATTCCTCCTTGTCCTACCTTGTGACCATACAATTCACACTTCTTGGCCAACTTCACTTTGAAAGAAATCAGCACGCTCTCCACATGCTGCATTTAGCCTAGAACAGAGCTGCACTCTTCTACAGGACAAACGAGCGCTCAGCTCAAATCTGCAATCCCCTACTAGCAAAAATGGTCGTGACTTAGCATGGTAAGGAGGACTTGGTGGGGTACCTACAGTAATACAGCTTTACTGGTGAATCCTAGGCATCACATGCAGTAGAGTGCTGCCCTACTCCAGGGCCAAGAAAATACATGCAGGCAACAGCTCCATCCTAAAGAACAGACATTCTAAGCGCCAGTCTGAAAGAGGAAAAAAGCAAGCAGTAGAGTACTACTACCTGGAATACCTCTGATACTACATGCAGTGGACCCGCTCCCTGAGCCACACAGCATTCCCACACAGAGAGCAAGTCTGAAGCTGCAAGTGGACACTGTGCACTCAGTAGCTACATCTACAGCAGTTATACGTGCTAAGGAACATTCTTGGGCAGTGGGAATCATAAGCCCTGGCCTCATTTTGGCCTGTGACTGCTATCACGTTCTTAGCCAACTCCTGGGACTCTTCAGGGACATTCCCAGAGGGCAGTCTGCACGCAGTTCTGCTGGTGGTGCAGTTACCTACAAACCTTGCCATCAGCTGAGAAACAAGAGTTCAGTAATCTGGACAAAAATATTATGTACCAGTCTGCTTTGGCGCAAGAGAACACACTGGAACATTTAACTTCCCAGCATGACTATGGCTCCACTGCCTACATTTTGTGCAGGAACGGAACTACCAGTGCCATTGCTATATCTTGAATTTAAGCACTATCAGGAGACTAGAAACCTCCAGATTCTTGGGCAGAAAAGGTATGTGTGGGATGGGAGGCAAAACACAAAGGTAAGATTAGAAGACTTGCAAACTAACCATCATTCCCAGCATTCATTTCCAAAACAGTATAGATAACCGCAAACTGTGTCCATGAAGATCCACTGCCTCAGGAGTGGACTTCTGAATCCGTAACAAACCATACCTGTAAGGATGTTCTTGAAGGCTTCTTCTACATTTGTTGAATCCAGAGCAGAAGTTTCAATAAAAGATAAGTTATTTTTTTCTGTAATAAATAACAAGTGGTTCAGTTAAAAACTTTAATAACACTATTTCACCTTTACTTTGAGGTTTTCACCTTTATTTTTAGGCCAAATCAGCTAGGGCACAGTCTTTATTTTTTTTCCTGATACACTTGGTGCACCATTTCAGCAGCGTCATCTTTGACCACTGCCTTTCCACAGCATGAGAACATTTCCCTCACTGCAGCCCTTGTTCAGTCAAGTAATAGGATATTATTCTCATCTGGCTACAGATCACTCCTAGAAGTACCTTAGCAAGAGCACAGGCAAAAGCATGTTGGCTGCAACAGGAATCACAATTCTCCACTGCAGTCCCCAAAAGATAAACAGACCTACACTTTCCTAATCAGACCCCACTTCTAAATTACAATAAAACCCCTAGTAATACAATCTATTTTCTTCTCTCTTCTTACAATGCAAAAGATATATATTTTTTAATTTAAAAAAAAAAAAATCATGATTCACACCCAAACATCACACCTCAAATGGTACTGCACCACCTGCCCAGAAATAGGCAAATTTCAGTCACAGAGCTTAAATGGCAACACCTATACCATCACTAGCTATTGAAAGCAGCCTTAGTAGGAAGTTGGGCAAAAAATAAGACATTGAACCAAATGACCAAAGTAATGCACTAAGGTGCTTACTAATTTGTTTTGCTTCTTTTATAGACTTGACTTCTCATTCGCCTGAAAATTTAAAGTGGTTTTACTAACCACAGGGTACTTGCTTACTAGCAAACTTCAGGAAACACATTTAAGCAAGCCCTAGTGATATTCATAGAAGGATGTTAAAACCTAAACATTTAAATTCCACCTCCAAGCTTGACAGCCACACAAAAGTAAGCTGAATGTGAAGGTGACACAGCTGACAGCCCAGCTGAAGTGCCTCTACACCAATGCACGCAGCATGGGCAACAAACAGGAGGAGTTGGAAGCCACCATGCTGCCAGAAAGCTACGACCTGGTTGCCACTACTGAAACCTGCCGGGAGGAATCCCATGACTGGAGTGCGGCTATCAATGGCTACAGGCTGTTCACAAGGGACAGGGGAGGAAGGAGGGACGGAGGCCTCGCCCTCTTGATGGCCTCTTGCCATCAAGAACTGGGTAGTGTGTGAAGAGCTGCCTCTGAAGAATAGCCACGCACAGGGTGAAAGCCTATGAGTAAGAATTAGAGACTGAGGCAACAAAGGGAACCGTGTGGTTGGGGTCTACTACAGGCCGCCCAGCTTGTTGACAAACCCTCTTACTCCAGCTCCAGGAGGTATCGCACATGCAGGCTCTTGTCCTGCTGGGGGACTTCAACCACCCCAACATCTGCTGGAAAAGCCGCATGGTGAGCTGTAGGCAATCCAGGAGACTCCTGGAGCGCATCGAGGATAACTTCTTAAGCGAGGTAAGAGACAGCCCTGCGATATTGGACCTGTTGGTCACCAACACAAGTGAGCTGATTGGTGACATTAAGATTGGAGGCAGCCTGGGCTGCAATGATCATGCACTGGTGGAGTTTGTAGTCCTGAGAGATAAGGGTCAAGCAAAGACTAAAGTCAGGACCCTGAATTTTAGGAAAGCAAACTTCCAGCTCTTCAAGGAGTCAGTCAATAGGACCCCCCGGGAAACTGCCCTCAGGGACAACAGAGCACAACAGAGCTGGTAGATCTTTAAGGACACTTTCCATAGAGTGCAAGCTCTTGATCCCCAGGTGTAAGAAGTCAGGAAAGGAGGGCCAGAGACCAGCATGGCTGAGTCGAGACCTGCTGGTCAAACTAAAGGGCAAGAAGGAAACGCACAGGCAGTGGAAGCAGGGACAAGTATCCTGGGAAGAGTACAGGGACCTTGCCCAGTTGTGTAGGGATGGGGACAGGAAGGCCAAGGCGCAGCCGGAGCTGAACTTGGCAACGGACACTCAGAAAAATAAGAAGGGCTTCTTACAGGTATGTCAGCCAGAAAAGGAAGGTCAAAGAAAGCGTACCCTCCCCAATGAGCAAGACTGGCAAACTGATAACAGCGGATGAGGAGAAGGTGAGGGACTCAACTTTTTTGCCTCAGTCCTCACTGGCAGCCTCTCTCCCCACACCTGTCAAGTAGATGAACCGCAAGGCAGGGACTGGGGGAGCAAAGTTCCTCCCACTGTAAGAGAAGATCAGGTTCATGACCACCGGAGGAACCGGAACATATACAAGCCTATGGGATGAGATACATCCCAGAGTCCTGAGGGAATTGGCTGATGCAGTTGCCAAGTCACTCTCCATGATATCTGAAAAGTCACGGCAGTCAGGTGAAGATCCCAGTGACTGGAAAAGGGGAAATACTGCACCCGTTTTCAAAAAGGGTAGAAAGGAGGACCCTGGGAGCTACCGACTTCTCAGCCTCACCTCTGGGCCTGGGAAGATCATGGAACAGATCTTCCTAGAAGCAATGCTAAGGCACATGGAGGACAGGCAGGTCATTCGAGACAGCCAGCACGGCTTCACAAAGGCAAGTCCTGTCTGACCAACCTAGTGGCCTTCTATGATGGAGTGACTAGATCAGAGGACAAGGGAAGAGCTAGGCATGTCATCTATCTAGACTTCTGTAAGGCCTTTGACAAGGTCCCCCACAACATGCTTCTCTAAATTGGAGAGTTGAATTTGATGGGTGGACTGTTCAGTGGATGAGGAATTGGTTGGATGGTCGCATTCAGAGGGTAGTGGTCAATGGCTCAATGTCCAGACGGAGATCGGTGACAAGTGGTGTCCCTCAGGGGTCCGTACAGGGACTAGTACTGTTAAATATCTTCATTAATGACATAGACAGTAGAATCAAGTGCACCCTCCGCAAGTTGACACCAAGTTGACTCGTGAGACTGACATGCCTGAGGGATGGGATGCCATCTAGAGGAACCTGGAGAGGCTCGAGAAGTGGACCCATGTGAATCTCATGAGGTTCAACAAGGCCAAGTGCAGGGT